TGATCTGCTAGGTACGGGGTATATTAGTGTTGCAGCAGTATATAAAAGCACGCCCGCCTACCGCCCAATATACTTGCTTGACCACAACACTCCATTTCCTGTCTTCTCACCAGAAATTCGAGCAGGCCTTCGCGAACGTTGACCCGCCCTTGACTTTGAGCCGGACGACCAACACAGAGACCTACGCACTCAGATCTTTATTCCTACACTCACCTACACAGCCTCTACACCCTTCAACAGCCCACCATGAGCACCGGCAACACAGAGATGATGAAGACGTCTCGCGCCACCGACACCCCGCGCGGGTGCTGGACCTCTCGCGAACAGAAAGCTATCGAGAAGCACATCCAGCGCTCGCGGGTCGGAGGCTCTCCTCAGACCCAGTCTCCGAAGAATACGTCTAGGATAGTCAGTCTACCCAGAATGCAATCCTTCTTTGCGCCTGTTGCTGACAGCGACCAGGATACCCCGAAACAGGGCAGTGCGAAGAAGGAGGCTTTGAGGGATGTGACAAACAAGGGTCATGCGAAGCTTGAGAAGGTGGATGCACGTGGGAGGGCGCGTGATCTGGGTACGTAACTCACAAGGCCTGACTAGCGTTGAAGGCACGCAGACTGACAATGTGTAGATGGTGGAGGGGTCTCCAAGGGGAAGTCCAAGTCCATGTCTCCTCATTTCTCCCCTACGTTCTCGCCTCGCACTTCAGGGATATTCAACTTCAAAGGGCTCACCTCTCGTTCCTATCGCTACTCCTAATGCCTGGGGAGGCAAGAAACGCAAGTCGCATACCTCGTTTGATTCCACTTCCTCGAGCAGCGGCGGCCGTTCACTCAGCCCGAAGACCGGCAACCACATGCTCGCCATCGTCAATGATGTTAGTATCTGAATTCACCTTACCAAGAAAACAAGCTGTCATACAGACAGCTCACCTCTAAACTTGAGCATACTGAGTACAAGTTGCGTGACGTTGTTACCGAGCGTGACCAGGCTGTGATGGAGGCCCGGGGCCTTCGTCGACGCTTGAAAGCTTTGCCAACCAGGCGCTCGACTACCACGGCTCTGGCTCGGACGACGGCCGCATGTAAGTCATATGTCTGCCAATCCCCAATATATTTGGTGGTAAGGTCACTGAGTCCTCGAAGTTAGGAGCCTCGACAACGAGATGACCTCCATCACAATATAACGACACATCATCAAATAAATCTCGAGTACACAACGGCTACCAAGCGAGTATCAATACTTAGCACCTAGGGAGCGACTTTCTTACAAAGTCTTGTCTGATATGTCGAGTCTGCAAACTTCATGTCATTTGGCGGAGGGTGATAATGGTTTTATGGGGTTGATTGTCTGGACATACGGTTGTCAATCATTCTTCTGCCTCACGCTGTGTGAGACCAATTGCTCGAATGAATAATTCATTTCTTTTCTCGCATCTGCCCTGGCGCGTTGCCTAGTGAACTCATGCACCTTCTTGATCCCGATGACTAAGGCCTACAGGTCGCTGCAAATAAAGAACCTCGTGCCTCATACATACCATGCTATCATATCCACAGTTTAGCCAACATTCCCCATATCGCACTCCAACACATAAATTGCTAGCAATCCTCCACATAAGCCCGCAATCCACAGTCGCAACAATCAATTTCCGCTTCAACTTACTTCGTCTAAACCACTACATCCACAATGGCTCGTCCGCTCAAGATCAAGACTACCAACCCTCCGAAAACGCAGTCTGAGCGTGCACTTTCTCGAAGCGAGAAAGCCACCCAGGCCCACATCGAGCGCCTAAAGAAGGCCACCGAGGCAAAGAACACAGGAGGTATGAGGAAGACAGCCGCTCATCCCAAGAAAGGCACAGAGGCACCTGGTTTTTCTTTCAAGACGCCCGCCAACACGAGGCCTGTTCCCAAAGCAAAGAAGGCCACTGCTGCACCGAAGGAAACCACGACGATCAGAGAGAGAGTGAATCCTAAGTGCAACACTACGACATATGGGGAGAAGAAGTTCGCCGAGAAGCAAGCGACTGCTGCTACCAAGGTGGCAGCTCGCGAGGTGAAGAAGGCTATTGAGAAGCAAACCCCTACTATGGTCAAGGTGAACATCAAAGCGACGATCAAGCCGAAGACGATGTGTCCCAATGCAAGGAACGCGCCAACCTCTCAGAATGATGTTGCGGTCAAGGAGGCTACCGAAGGGAAAGAGTCAATTATGTTCGAGTGCGCTATTGGGAAGAAGATTGCCCCTGCATACACAGAGAAGAACAGGTTTGTGCGACAGAAGGAGAACCAAACCGAGAAGAAGGCGCAGCATATTGGTAAGGAAAGCATTCACTACAGCCATGCTACAGTGTTAACAGATACAGTGGTCTTCAAGAAACCGACAGTACCAGTCTCAAACAAGAAGCAGACGTTTAGAACGGTTCCGAAGGGTAGGTGTCTTGAGGCGGTTAACAATCAGCTCAGTCACTAACGCCATTAGAACCGGAGGTTTCAAACATCAAGCCTCACGCCGCTAGAAAAGCAAGTGCCACTACTCAAAACACCCCGAAGCATGTCAAGCAATCTGTATTTGGCAAGAGTCTTAGCGTTTTCGAACGCTTGTACCATAGCAACGGCCGGACTATCAAGGCAGAGAAGATGTTCGGTGAGCATCTCAAACCGCGAAATTCTCACTCTTGCTCACAAGTTTCAGACTCCTGTTACCGTCCAGCCAGTCCCACACCGAAAAAGGCTCATAGCAAGGCTTTGCAAAGCGAGTCTATCGCTCACCATCTCCATTGGTACAATCTTAGGGTCATTAACCCCACCACACATGTCGCGAACACAGTCCACAAAGGAGACGGGGGCACGAAGTCGGCTTTGAAAGTCAAGCGAGCATCAAGCCCAGGCTCTGATTCGAGTCGGTCCACAAAGAACAAGCCTGAGCGAAAGCGCGTGCGATTTGAGGAGGCAGTTGAGGCCACGACGTCTACGACTCCGCCGGGTACACCTCCACAGCTTCTTATCCTTAAGAAGAGAATGTCTACGTCAGCGAAGACGAGTAGGTATATTCACCTGAAGTATTGAGAGCACGCACTTATCTCTTGCAGACCCTTCGCCGAAGCTCAATCTATCACTTCGAGTTGCGGATATTTCTTCCAGTCCCAGTGCCCCCGAGGTTCCGGACGAGTCTCCCTCGATCGCTAAAAGTACGCCTAACACAATACTCGTCTGCAAAATATAGCTAACTCGTTGTAGCTTCGGTGTCAAAGATTACCCCGCCATCTTTAACTCCGACCGAAACTCTGTTTAAGTTCATGGAGTTGACTCCATCTAAAGGTGGCCATAGTAAGTTGTTAACCGGTACAAGATTTCGGAGACTGTGCTGACCTAGGAGAAGCATCATCTTCACTTGCCAAGGGTACCAGGACTCCTTCCGAGACCACTGCATTCCTTCGCAAGTTCAGGGAGGATACCCCGCCCTCAGCCCGTCATGGTCAGTAGCATGGTACCACTGCAATGCAACATCTATTCCAGTACTGACACAATGAAGCTCAATCTTCCCGTGGGAAACTCTCACATACGGCCATCGGCACCGAGGAACTACTTCTTCGGTTTAAGGAGAAATCTCCCACTGATGATAACAGTAAGCCGACGTCGTCCTGACATATCCTTCAGTATTTTCTAACATCTCACAGCTCCTTCCGATCTTGAAATCAGGTGGGTGTCTAACCCAAATAGTGGCAAGACTCCACGCTTCGCTTCCCCCACACTTTCGTCGCAACTGCGGACGTCTAGTTCCATACCGCGCCGACATCGCTAGGAACTTCGAGGCTCCCTGTAAAGTCCTGCATCGGAAGAAGGATACTCAGCATCTTGGTAGGAGTATCCGTACTCGGGGCAGCAGGTTTGATATTAGCGTCGAGAAGGTCGGGTCAAAATAGCCTGTATGGATTGGTATAATCTAGCCTGTGCTTCTGGATAGGGGCCTTTCGGAGATACTCGAGGTGGACACGCCGAGTAAGGCGCCCCGGAACGCTTAAAAGGCGGTTCAAGAGGTAATGGACGTTGGCGACCGAGATTACCACTCACTTGCGAGCCGACGTTCGCCTAAAAGATGGGTCTACAGTGCAATGTAGATGCTTTGCTTGACATCTTGAGCATGGTGCAGGAAATCCGGTTTTAGAGTCGCAGCGGAGCCAGAGGTCTGTTAGCAACGGAATGTTGAATTGCATCTTACCTTGATCTGTCTACATTCAATACATGTCTTTACAGGTCGATTGACAGACCTGCCAAGAGGAACTGATGCCATGTTTGTGGCGTAGCATCCAACTCTAACTCCATGAAACGTTGGGAGACACCTAGCCACCTCCGAGCTCCGTTCTTTCCAGCATTGAGAGGGGCACTCTTTTAGTAACGACTTCTACTACATTTGAGAAGGTTAACCCTGACATCAAGAAAGTTGAAAGACCTCGGAAATATCAGAGTGGAGGATCGCCGTGGAAAGGCTGATGCCTTGGAGGTGCGGTGTGACGGCACCCAACACGTGCATAAGACGCCCCGCTGCCCCGCGTTAGGCAGTCATGCCGACCAGACTATATAAATCGGCGAAGCGCAGCCGACAACTCTGTCACTATCACTACCACTGGTCCATATCGATCTCGCTTCAATTTTCATTTCCACCTACACAGAACATTCGCCATTGTCTGCCATCTAAGGTTTAGACTTACGCTACGGCTACGGTCAGTGATAAGAGCATACCAATTAATTCTACTACCAACCTACAATCGTTTCCTTGTGAATTTCCTTCTACCAACTCATATTTAACCATCTAGAGCATGTGCTAATATACGTTAGTCCATCTCGAGCCTCACCAGCTACCAATATCTCAAGTACGCGTGGTTTAGTGGTAAAATGCGTCCAATTTCAACGGACGAGCCCCAGGTTATTCCTCGGCGCGCACCAATTTCTATGCTGAACTCCTTTCTTCTTTTTGCTCCTGCTTGTTGCGTCTGTTTCTTCGTGGGTGTAGTTTAGTGGTAAAATTCGTCTACTTTCCAGACGAGCCCCAGGTTCGATTCCTCGGCGCCCACCACTACAGATGCTCAAGCTCACATCTATCCTTTCTACAGCGTCGCTCTTTTCGTGGGTGTAGTTTAGTGGTAAAATTCGTCCTGTTCAGACGAGCCCCAGGTTCGATTCCTTGGCGCCCACCACATTAGACGCTCTGGAGGTTGATTGCTGGGCTTCCTCCTCGAATCTCTTTTCGTGGGTGTAGTTTAAATGAAATTTGTCCTTCTAAGACGAGCTCCAGGTTCGATTCCTCGGCGCCCACCATTCGATGCGAGAGAGCAGGATAAGAGTATTCATAAGCAGTCCCTCTAGGTTTCACAGATGATTTCTGGGGGCATCGATTGGAAAGAAAGTTTGTGCGATTGGTTCATTATTTTCTTGTAATATCTGAGCTGAGTTGCGATGCACTTTAGCTACTCCAGACGTCCACTGTACGATGCAACAGAAAAGCATGTTGAAAAATGCTTGAAAACATCACCTCCAAGCAATATTCATTACCTACTCGGTCGCTTTCGTATACATGATATCCGTCCGTAGCGTCAGTTTCAAGCCCTTATCGACATCCTCGCCAGAATGGAGAAGCCCTCTGTGCTGGAATAATAGAACCCGACCAACTTTGGGAACAACACGAATCTCGCGGCCCATGTTGTAGGAGTGGAAGGTGGTCGCTCCTCCCTTGAGTTGCTCCCCGGCCTCATTCAGATAAAGATGGAGGGTGAAGTACGAGCGCTCGGATTTGTCAGGTGTTTCATAGGTTCCGTCACAGTGAGCTAGCTCAGTTAGTATAGTGAGACTTCGAGTTACATATTATGGACATACCTTTGAAGTACTCATCCGGGCCATACTTCAAGAACCTCATTCGCTCGTTCAACCGCGACAACTTCCAAGTCTCTTTCCGTTTGGCAGGTCCATTCCCTGTGACATCGGGCCAGTCCACCAGTTCGTTAATTTCCGGCACTGCACTTGCACATCTCGCCCATAACTTATTCACAAGCTCTTGGTCATCCCATATGATCCGCCCACAGTTTCGAACATCGTCGTAAAGCGCTTGTTTACCACCGCCGATGTTGACCATGGCTCGTTCCCACTTGCCGTCTGTGGTTGCTTCAGCTGCTGCTACGAGTTGATCGCACTCTTCCTCTGTGACGATTCCGTCGAGTATGACAGCCCATAAGCCTTCATACTCGGGGAGGCCACCCTTCTCCCAATTGACGTCCGATCTCTTCAGGGCTGGAGCGGGTCCATCGAGGAAGCTCTTGTGGAGCTTGGCTGTCTTGGTGGAAGCCATTGTTGCTACGTGATTGATGTGTAGTCTGCGTGACGGTGGCAATATAGGTAGTCGCACCTTTCTCGACTTCAGCAGGTAAAGAGAATATGAATTGGGTAAATGAACACGAGATGAAAGCTTCCTGCAAATCGGTCGAGGGCTATATATCGGAGCCCAGGACCCAGGGTGTGCTTGTTGCCTGAAGCTTACCGAAGGCTGAAGACATTGGGCCGCGGCGCTGCGCCTTGCTGCAGAGAAAGGAGTCATTCTTGCCGGTTGTCTGTCGTACGTGACATGCACCTGAAGAGGCGATTATGTAGAAGACGCGACTTCTCCATCGTTGACTAAGAGCCGGATTTCACTCGTCGGAGTCAACTGTCATGATACCACGGGCAATTACGAGCGAGTAGGACTGCGGTTAACTAGCGGATACATTTCCTCAAGGCCATACAAGTAAAGGGCTTTTCCGAGAGCACGGCAAACCTCAAGAGGCAGAGCCCTTGGGTAGCAGCCGGTGTCCCAGTTGTGACTCCAAACGAAGTCGACATGCAGCCAGACGGGTGATCGACAGGTGTTGACCTTCGTTTCGCACCCCTGCCTCACGACGTGCCAAGTTTGGAGCCCTTTACGCGGCATAATATCATCACCAACTCTCCACCTCCGGCGACCCCAATCGACTCCGACTTCACCGGCAGCTGCTCTGTGCTCAACGCCTTCACCACAGCATTTGCTGCGCGCGCTGTGCGACCCAGTGCGCTATTTGCGCCACCCGTCTCTCGTTCCCACTCGTCGCGCCAAGACATCAACTTCACTTCGCAATTTCCCGATTGATTCGACCTTCGACCTCAATTGGACTGCCCAACGTCACGCTGAATCTCTCGCGCTCTCCTCCTTCGACTGCCCTCGCTGCCCGCGATCGTCCCACGAGTTTCAACTGCCTGCTACGGGGCTGTATCGCTGCGAAAGGCCCGGCACCCGGAGGTCTGCTCGCCATAGCAACGGAGGTGGAAGCGCGACTCAAGCAGCAACCACACTATTGATATCGATCTTATCGCGACGCCCGCTCTTGCGCCCACATCACACAATCGCCTGTCATGGCGAGCCACGAGCCGTTACCGGCGGAGCTCAATAGGAATCGCTTCCCAACGCTGTTCGAGGTGTTGAGTCGGAAAACGGTCGCCCCGCTCGATCTGTTCTCTTTCTACATATACATGCGAGATCAGCAGCGATCGGTAGACTACCTGGACTTCTGGTGGGCTCTCTGATCAATATTCACATGAGGATGACTGACTAACAGCGCAACAGGCTCGATGTATCGCAACACCTGCAACTATGCCGATTGTACGTGCGCCGCCTACACCGGTCCGTCATAGAGGACACGCCGGAGCTGGAGAAGAACAGCAAGCGGTCATCGTATATTCTGGACAACGCAGGCGAGGGACCGTCTGGGGAGAAGGGCAACGTGTCAGACCAGCGGCTCTCCGCTTTCCTCAGGTCGGATCATGGAAGTCGAAATCATTCACCTCAGAACAGCCAGGGTAGTGCACACTCGAATCGATCAACCCCGGGTCGCGAACGACCGCCCAGACCTAGCTTCATGACGCTAGATACGAACTCGCCGAATGACTCGAGCTCGCCAGGACAGAATTCTTCGGCCGATAACGTTCCGCGACGAGAGGACTTGCGCGCTTCGGCAGAGAAGATTCTCTATACTTACCTGTTGCCAGGATCGGAGAGAGAAATTATTATCCCACAGAGCATACTTCACGAGGTGCAGGAAGCGATCGAAGGCCCAGATCAACGAAGCGACCCAGAGCTGTTCGATGCGGCAAAAGACTATGTCTTCCAGGCAATGGAGCGCGATGCCTTTCCTGGCTTCCTCCAGAGCAAAGGACTTGGCAATCTCGTGCCACAGAGCATGATGATACGGCTCATCATTGGCTTGATCAGCTTCTTCGGGGCTGTATGGGCAGCGTTCATCCTCATCTTCCTAGACAAGTCGCGGGTGACGAGGTGTTGGGTGTGTACTATGTTCCTATCTGTTCAGACAGCACTGACCTCCGACAGCTCATCCTCCCCTTCACCGTGGCCATCTACTTCATCTTCACCCACCAGTACATGCTCGATCCCGTTCTCGCCCTCATCGGCCTGAGCGAGTACACACTCATGGACTTCAATCGCATTCGAGAACCATTCGTCAAGAGTACGCTCACGAAGCGGTCAATTTCAGTCCTGGGTATGTTCTTGCTCGTTGATGCTGCCCTGTGCTGCCTGTTCATCTTGGTGCCTGGGAAGCGGTTGTGAGTAACGTGCTTTTCCTTCTTCTTTTACCTTAGCGATCTGGCTGCGCCTGTGGTAATGGATGTGATGGAGTGGTGCATGGGGAGACTACGGTGGCTTGATGCGAAGGCACGTAGATGTGAGGAGAGGAGCTTTCGAGTGTCGATTCGCCAAGCTGTATCTGCTCATTTGGAGGAGGGAAGTCGGAAGGAACCGCAGCGATCCATGGCGATCCATGCGAAAAGTCGAGCCAGGCGATGCCCTGTCACACTACTGAGATTCCCCATTTTCTTTTGGCTGGTCATGTTTCTTCAGCATGGTGTTTGGGTATGCCCAGCTATGGGACCTTTCGGGTACAGTCGTAGCCTACCTACACTGGATGAGGCTTGACGGCCTGTTCATTAGTCCCTTTTCTCGAATTAATAGCCGAGCAATTGTAATGCGATTCAATGATCTGAATTAGGAGCAGAAGTAATTGATCTTTGTGCCTCCAGTGTATGTTGAGAGGGGAGGTGGTCTCTAGGGAGAGCTAGTAGGCGGGTCGCTAGCAATAAATGCGGGAAACAATTTTTGTTAACGTAGTATCATCATTCGGACTATTTGACTACCACTGAAGTTGGTGAGTGATACCCTATAAGCCTATTCATCGCATCATGACCCCTCCATGGGTGCCTATTGAATGAGCTTCAAGAATAGACACATAACGCCGAAAAAACCGCCTGTGACTTGCGTGTAGTGTAACATTGATGACCCGAAACGGTGTGCTATGAAGGGCAAGGCGAACACTAATATTGTCGTAGTCCACAGTATCCACACGGCTTGCGACATTGCTATTGATGCGGCGACCGAGCTGTTGTAAAGGTTCCGGCAAGTTCAATCCACCATGTAAGTTTGAGACTGAGCCTATACACAAGTAATGAGCGAAAGGGGTTTGACTCTATTGAACATATTGTTGTTATTCCCGCCAGGTCACCTTCGCTCAATCGTTGGCCTAGCACATTGCAGGCGGGATGACTGCTCTTAATACAGCAAGCTCCACAGAACGGGTTTGGGAAGCGGTCGTTGTCAACTTCGGCAGTGAGAAATTCGCGAAGTTTACCTGCTGACATTCTCTCGCGGCGATCAAATTGGAGAATGTTTTTGACACAACTGAGCATTATGTTGTCCTGATTGTCTCCGACTGTTCCGAGATAAACAACGAAAGCGTCAGTGGCGACCGTATTGCTGTTGACATATGGGCTGCAATCACCGTGATTCGAAAAGTAGTCGTCCATTTCTGCAAGTTTCACGCCCTTTAAGGTGGCACACATTTCCAAGTATACAACCCCCAGCGACCAGATGTCGGACGACTCGTCTCGAATATCGTAGTCGGCCACCTCTGGAGCGCAGTATCTCGATGATTTTGCTGTGAGCCCAGTCGACTCGCATCCATGACGGTCTGAGTAGTCTTTCGCAAGGCCGAAGTCCGTGAGCA